CGCCTTTGATCCCAGCACTTGGGAGGCAGAGGCAGGTGGATTTCTGAGTTCGAGGCCAGCCTGGTCTACAGAGTGAGTTCCAGGACAGTCAAGAGACACACAGAGAAACTCTGTCTTGAAAAACAAAACAAAACAAAAAACAACAACAAAAAAGGGGAATCATTTTGCCGGGCGGTGGTGGCGCGCGCCTTTAATCCCAGCACTTGGGAGGCAGAAGCAGGCGGATTCCTGAGTTCGAGGCCAGCCTGGTCTACAGAGTTCCAAGACAGCCAGGACTACACAGAGAAACCCTGTCTCGAAAAAACAAAACAAAACAAAACAAAACAAAGCAGAACAGACCCAAATATCCACTAGCTTGCGTTCTTTCAAGATGTACACAGATTTGGTGATTTTTTTTTTTTCCTAACCCAGGGCCTCACGCAAGCTAGGCAAGCAGTCTCCCACACAGTTTCCCAAAAACTTTTACCTGAGAAAAATTCAATACGCTTCTAAGGGAAGATAACTGTTAGGCATGCATATAAAACTTCAAGTTAGAAATGAAACATGAAACACTTGTTAGCCTAGTTCAAAAACCAATTTCAGGGCTGGTGAGATGGCTCAGTGGGTAAAGATGCTTGCCCTGCAAGCCTGAGACAGTAGGACTGGGAGTTAGAATCCATTGTTAGCTGCACCGTGAGCCCCACCTTTTCCCTCACTCCTCCAAAGCCTCCACACTTATCTCCACATGCCTTTTCACAAAAAGAGGTCACGAAATTTAAAGAGTAGCTAAAATTATTAAGAGGAAGAGCTGAAGGACAACTTTAATAGCTAATTATATTAGCCAAGCAATGACATGGGGGAAAAAAGGTGCAATTAAGTTGTCCACGCAATTAGAATGCTAAGGATAATTGTGGCTGGTGAGGTACTGCAGAACAGTTTCATGGGAGGCACCTCTCCTCAAAATAGGACAGGATGGGGCTGGAGGGATGGCTCAGTGGTTAAGAGTTTAAAAGGCCCAAGTCTGGTTCCTAGCCCTTGTCCTGGGGTTAACTACTGCCTGTAATGCCCTCTTTTGGCCTCTATGGGCACCAGCAGACACTGCATACACTCAAACTCAGATTCTCATGCTTGTACAGCTAGAGGTTTTATCCACTAAACTATCTCCCCAGCCCTGAAAATGTGTTTGTTTTAAGTCAATCACAAACCATAACACAATTGGATAAGGTTTTTGTTATTTTAAAAAGTAACTTTATTATTATTTACTTATGTAGACAAGTGTGCACCTGAGGAGTTCAGAGGGGTATCATATCCTCTGGAGCTGAGGTTACAGGCACTTGAGTGCTGATGTGGGTGCTGGGAGCAGGTCTTCTGCAAGAACACAGCCACCTCTGCAGCCCTGTGGTTAAGATCTTTTGTTGGGGAATTTACATGACTAAAGGGACAGGAATTTGCTTTGGGAAAAGGACAAAGAGGGGTGGTCACTGTGCTAGAAGCTCATGGAGCCCAGGGTTTTTACAGTAAACCCTGAGACATTTATCTAAGGACACCTTTAGACTTTTGAACAAGGAACTCACTTTAGTCACGAGGGAACACATTACCTTGGACAGTTGGTATTAGCAAAGAGATGGTGAAATAAGTTCTGTGTCCAAAACCCAGCTCTGCAACTTGTCTGCTGTGTGACTTGGGGCAGATCATGAGACCTGTTTCACATGGGTGTGGTAAGGACTCTAGTGCATGCAGCTCAGGAAAAGGTGGTTGGGGTGGTTGGCTTGTGACAAGTACTCAATTATTGTGTTATATACTTCTAGAAATCTTTAAAATAAGTAAACACATTATTTTTATGTGTGTGTGTGTGTATGCTCACGTTGCACATGGGGTGATGAGAAGACAACTTTCGGGATTCAGTTCTCTCCTTAGGCTCTTGGGATCAAAGTCAGATTTGGTTTTCAGGCTTGGTGACAAGTGAGTTAACAGGTGGCATGATGGTGCACACCTTTTGATGTCAGTACTGGAGAGGCAGAGGCAGGTGGATCTCTGTGAGCTCAATGCCAGGCTGCTCTGCAAAGCAAGTCCAGGACAGCCAGGGCTACACAGGGAAACCATCTTAAAAAACAAGTCAGCAAACAAACAAACAGTTCAAATATATTTAGGAGAAATCAACATAGCTGAGTTAAGTTATATACAACCTTAAGGTTGGTGGTATCTGAAAGGGAAGGACAGACAGGTGATGCCTATTTTCTACTTCTTTTGGTTTCATTTAATACTTTTTTAAAAAAATTTTTTTGTTTACTACTTTAATTTGTGTGTGTGTGTGGTGTGTGTGTGTGTATGTGTGTGCACACTCATATGCATCTTTAACTTTAGAAAGTAATGACTATGATTTTCCCTAACTTTTTCTTTTAGAAAGTGAATAAAAACAATACAGGAAAAAAAAGAGAATTAAGTTTGTAGGTGAGGCTGTGACCTCTGATGTGCCCCGTCTGTGAAGCCTCGTGTTTGTCTTCTGGAGCCATCACATCTGTTTAAGAGGACAGAGAGGCTGGGGATGCAGCTTGGAGGTGGACTGCTTGCCTAGTGTACTTCAGGTGCCTGGGTTCAAGGCTCAAAGGCTAGGGTGGCAACTCTAATACGTCATCTGCCTTATTTACTTCCTTCTTGACTACCACCCTCCACATAGGCGCTTCTCAGCCCCAACAGCCAGGCTTCCCGGGTCTAGATCTTGGCTGTCAACCCTTTTATCTACAGCAGTAACTCTCTCATCACTCTCATGGAGGGCTGCTCCTTCCTCATCCTGTATTTCGAGCCTAAAACTCAAAAGGAGTCTTTCATTTAACACAGACCACAATTTGTTCTTATTTCTCTCTCTTTCTCTCTCTCTCTCTCTCTCACACACACACACACACACACACACACACACTACACTTCCTACACTAGCTAGTTCCATGTCTGCAAACATTTTGCTGGGTCTACCCACCTTCGTTAAACATTAACACATTAAACATCAGCACTTGCTAAGTACTCGACTATTTGTTTAATGAAACAACAATATCTAGTGTCTCTTTCAGCTAAGAACAATAATTATTAGGTTTTAGGACAAATAAAAAAATCAGTCTGGAGGGCGCCTTATGGGTCAAGGAAACAAACGATGCCTTTCTGTGATAAAACTAAAGAATGGCTGCATTCTAAGGAACTTAGTTGGAACCTGACTGATAGAATCTACCAACGGCTCAAACGCTCCCCATACAAACAATGTGAAGAATACTTGGAAGTTTTGCTTTCAGATTTGCCTTGGTTTCTTCTTAGGTGTGCTGGAGACTGAACTCGGGCTTTGTGTATGTTAGGCCAGGCCTCTACCACTGAGTCATGACTGGATCCTAAGGCCTGCCAACAACCCATGACTTAAGTCCAAACCTCTCTCTAATGATAATGGGCTGACTACATAAAGAATGATCTGAAAAGCTTGTTAAAAATACAGATTTCCAAAGACTCTGATTTAGTATTTGTGAAGCATGGCTCCACGATTTACACATATAAAAGTTACAAAACGTGCACGTATTTAAACAGTACGAAGTAGTTTAGGGCAAAGTTTCCTTCCACTCTGTCTGCTTCCATTAGCTACTGGCTCCTAGTTTCTTTGGTAGAGGAACTGTTTTGACCTGAGCTCTCTCTCTCCCTTTACTTTTTTTCTTTCTTTCTTCTACATTTCCCCCACAGGTGTGTGTGTAGCCCAGTTGTTGGTCTTGAACCCACAGCTCTCTTGCCTCAGCCTCCTTAGTACTAGGATTAGAGGTGTGTTCCACCACAGTTGGTCCTAATACAGATTTTTCAGTTTTCCCCCCTAATCCCATCTGATAATGTGTGTTGGAAATGAACGCATCTGGTTTTGCTTCCGTGTCACAGATCAAACCCTGGGGCTTGGAGCATGCCAAGCAGGAACTCTACTAGCGAGTGAGCAACATCCTCAGTCAGATATTTGTGTTTTTAACGAATATTCTAGATGATTCTGATGTGAAGCCAAATTTAGAAACCACTCAATGCCCCAGGGTCAAAGGATTAGTAAGTTCAACTCAATGACACATCACAAATGGATGTCCTCAAAACTTGCCTTGCTTCCTTGATCCCTGCCCCTTGTCTTGAAGGAAGGAACGAGGCCTTCCTCCAGTGTCTCCAGGAAGCACTATAGCTATTTATTGAACGATGCAAAACTATGTCATTTTCAATCCCTGAAACCCATTCCTGTCCACCATTACCTGAAATGACAAACCTGACAAATCCTATATGACAGACATTTTGGTATTTGACTTGAAATGAAGTTGGCCCTACACTGAAGGGCTGCTTTTCTCTCTCAGCATTAAATAATTTGAACTGAGCACACCCGATATACTTTCCTTTATTAATCCTCACTGATACAGCATCCTGTCCTCCCCCAGAATTGCGTTCTTACCATCTGGTCAAAAGCAATTAACTGTTGAGCGAAAATTGCATTGTCGGACAGAATCTAATTAGTTCCAAGCTCTGGCTCAGGGTGACCTGACTTGACCTAACCTGGAGCCGGAGAGGGCTCAAGCCTTCTGCCGCTCTAGCGCTCCCTTCCCATCCACTCCAAGGACTGCAGACGGAATTTCCTTTTGGCGCGGAGGTTAGTCGCTCCAAAGGACACCAGAGAATCTCGTCTGCAGTGTCGCTTCCACCACCAGGGACAACGAGCTGAAGGTATCCTCACTTTCTCTACCTTGAGCCAAAGAAGCAGGGTTCCCTGGCTTCTCGGGGAACCCGCCAAGATCATTTGGCTAACCCCAGTACCTAGCCGAAGAAGAGCTTGCTCCCAGCCGGAACGTGTGTCTCCTTGGCTTAGATCATGAAGCTGGAAAGGGGTTCAGGGAACCCCACCTCACTCTCCTTGTCCTAATGAGTCTTTTCTCCCACCCTTGAGACCTAATGGGTCTTTTCTCTCCCCCCACCCCCAGCAGATCACTGCCAGCGGCCACCTGCCTTCTTCCCACTGACCCCGGTTCCCTCACCCAGCATGATGGGGCTGAGCCGGCGGGCCAGGCCCTTGGACAGGTCGTACACGTAGAGCTTCACCGGATAGAGATTCGGCGGCTCCATCGGGACCCGTGGCGGCGGCCACGATGGCCCTCGGGCACCCGGCAGCGGCTTGGACCTTCCGGTACCCGACCGGGGTGGGGAGAGGAGGGAACGGGGGACCGAGCCGGGGCCCGGCCTGAGGGCGGGGGAGAGGCGGCCCTGCGCTGCTCGCGCCCCCGCACCCGCGACCGGCAACGACTACTGTGAGGTGACAGAGAGAGAGATCCCAGAGACTCCGCACGGAACAGGGGGCAGGGGCGGGGACGCACTTTCACGCATGTGCGTTCGGTGCTGACGAGCAGCGGGGGCGGAGCTTAAAGGGGCGGGGCTTTCTCTGGCCCCCTGCGTTCCAGTTTAGGGAACAGGAGTGGAAGCCAGGGATGCGAGTGGGCGTGCCCGTTTGACGGGTCGAAGGGCGTGTTGTGCGTGATGATGTAGACGTCTCTGATTGGGCGAGAGACCTGGAGCCCGCGTGGACGTGGTGCCCTCATTCTTCTGTCCCGGTGGTTCGCTCACCTGCGGCTAAGGTAGGTCCGCTACACTGTACGTGTTGCGTGCGGCCTGCCTTGGTGGCCTTACCTGCACGCTCAGTGTCGCGCGGTCCTATTCCTCGCCGCGGAGCAGCGCGGTCGACAGAGACACACTCTGGATCCTGCTCCTTTCTCCCCAGGAGGCGGAACAGGACAGGTGGTTGAGCCAGTCTCTAGCTGAAGGTTGCGGGGAGACAAGGGGGGAGAGGTGAAGACGAAAGTTTCAGCCAGAGCACCAAGTACCTTTCCTCCCAGACCGGTTGGAGCTGGAGATAGGACCTTCAGTGGTGAGCCACTACGTTATATCCCTCCCTCACTCCCAACCATTTTGGTCCTGCAGCATCCTTAAGGAATAGCCAAGGGGAGGTTGTTGGAGCAATCATTCCCATGCTCATTTCATTTCTCCTGCCCCTCCAACGATCAAGAGCTTTTGAGGAAGCAGGAGCCATCATTCACATTCTTTTAGTGACGCGAGCATTTAGAACTGATCTAAAGAGAACCCAGAAGTGTATTTTCTGTTTTTCCTCTTTTTTTTTTCTTTTGGTGTGTGTGGCATAGGTCCTGGCACATTGTAGGCAAGTGCTTTACCACACAGCTACCTTCCTCGGTATTTTTTTTTTCTGTTTCAATTTGTTTGTTCATAACTTCTCTCACCTAGTGAGCAAACCAATATGTCAGAGTGGGAATCCTACTACAAAACTGAGGGCGAGGAAGAGGAAGAGGAGGAGCAGAGCCCCGACACAGGTGGTAAGTGGCTCTGTCCATTTTTTTTGCGGGGAGTACTTTACTGTCAGTTAATTGAAAATATTTTTTCTTCCTTTGAGTTTTACAGAGTTATTATTCAGGTCCTGTTTTAGTCTATGAACATTCCTAACCCTAATTTTTTTTTCACTAGTCACAGATTACTCATCTTCAATAAATGACTCTGTCCAAGTGATAACTATTAAGTTATCACTTTATTTACATATTTGTGGTTGTTTAAAAAAATCCACTTATTTTTATTTTATGTATGCATGTATACTCTGTGCATGTCTGGTGCAAAAGGAAGCCAGAAGAGGGAGTTGGATCTCCTAGTGCTAAAGTTATAGGTGGCCGTGAGCCTCCATGTGGGTTTTGTGAAGTGAAGCTGGGTCATGTTCAGCAAGTGTTCTTAACAACTGTAACCACTGGGCATCCTCTCCAGCTCCTGTTTGTTTGATCTTGAGGCAAGGTCTCATGTAGACCAGGCTGACTTCAGACTCACTTTGTAACTGATGTTGACTTTGAATTCCTAATGATTCCTGGGAACCGAGTTAACGTAAAAGCGGGTATGTTGGTGGCTACACCCTAGTCTCTACCTTTTCTTCTGCCTCTTGCCTGGAATCAGCCCAGCTCCAGGCTTGCACTAGGAAACCTCCTCATGGTGTAAGAGACTCCCAGGGGCTAGAGAGAAGGCTCAGGGGTTGAGAGCACTGGTTGCTCTTCCAGAGGACCTGGGTTCTATTCCCAGCATCCCTACGGGGGTTCACAACCACCCATAGCTCCATTTCCAAGGGACCTAATGCCCTCTTCTGAGCTCTGAGAGTACCAAGCGTATACATGGTTACATACGTATATGCAAGCAAAACTTTCACACATAAAATGAATACATCTAATTTTTTTTTTTTTCTTTTGAAGACAGGGTAGCTCTTTGTAGCCCTGGCTGTCCTGGAACTCATTCTGTAGACTAGGCTGGCCTTGAAGTAAAGAGACCTACCTGCCTCTGCTTCCTGAGAGCTAGGATTAAAGACATTCACCACCATACCTGGCTAAAATTTTTTTTTTTAAAGAATTAAAAATAAGTCAGACTAATGATTTGAGAGATATACATGGCACTCGGGGTCCTGACAGGAGTGGTGGCTTTAAGTGGGTTCATCGTAGCATAATTTGTTAGGTTCTACTTATGCTCTATGGGTTCGTGTCTGTTTTGTGTGATTGATAATAATGCAAAAGACAAACATTTTCTTCCATTTATTTTTCCATAGGAGAATATAAATATTCAGGAAGAGACAGTTTGATTTTTCTGGTTGATGCCTCCAGGGCTATGTTCGAATCTCAGGGTGAAGATGAACTCACACCTTTTGATATGAGTATCCAGGTAAGACTGCTTCATTATTCAACTCAAAAAAATTGAATGGGTGTGGTGGCTCATGTCTCTTAGCCCAGCACTCAGGAGGCAGAGAGATCTCTGAGTCGAGGCCAGCCTGGTCTACGGAGTGAGTTCCAGGAGAGCCAAGGCTACGTAGTGCCTCCATTTTATTCTGGGTACTTTTGAAAGACATTGCTCCCATACTCTGTGTTAGCTTTGGCAAATAGAAGTGGGTTCTCATCAGGGTTGGATTATAAAAGTCAAGGGCTGCTGTTCTCGTGTGGATAAGGTCCTTTTGAGGCTGGCTTAATGGTTGAGACCAAAAGTGAGTCCCCAGTACCACCACCAGTACCCCACACCTACCTACACACACAAGTACAAATACACAAGTCTTTATTACTATTAATAAACAATTACAACAAAGTTTTAAAATGGTCAAAAGAGGACTAGGGATTTAGATCAGTTGGTAGAGTGCTTGCCTCGCGTGTGCAAGACCCTGGGTTGGTGACATACAATAGTATTTCCAGTACTGGAGAGGTGGAAACAGGAGGATCAGAAGTTCAAGGTCATCCTTGGCTACATATTCAAGTTGGAGGCCAGCCTGGGCTTCATGAGACCCTGTCTCAAAAGGGGGATGGGGGACAAAGGATTTGAGTAGCCATTTCTTTAAAGATAACAAACAGAAACTGCTGCTAATGTTGAAACTGGTGGTGGTGATGCATACCTTTAATCCCAGTGCTGGGGAGGCAGAGGCAGGCAAATCTCTGTGAGTTCAAGGTCAGCTTGGTCTACAGAGTGAGTTCCAGGACAGCAAGGGCTATGTAGAGAGACCCTGTCTCAAAAACAAAACAACAAAACAAAACAAAACAAAACAAATAAAATAAAATAAAATAAAATAAAATCTTTAAAAAACCCAAACAAACCAAAGCCAGTATGAAGGGGTGCAGCTAGTATGGCAAGTGTCTTAGCAATTCCTCAAAGTTAGTAGAGTTAAGATTGCCACATGGGCCGGGCGGTGGTGGCGCACGCCTTTAATCCCAGCACTTGGGAGGCAGAGGCAGGCAGATTTCTGAGTTCGAGAGTTTGAGGCTAGCCTGGTCTACAGCATGAGTTCCAGGACAGCCAGGGCTACACAGAGAAACCCTGTCTCGAAAAACCAAAAAAAAAAAAAAAAAAAAAAAAAGATTGCCACATGGCCCGGTAAGTCTACACTTAATGTATGTATGTGTCATGTAAAATGAAAAACAGATACCCAGGCCTGGGAATGCAGCTCAGTTATTAGAGGTCGTGCCTACCATGTGTAAAGTCATGAGTTCATTCTCCAGCACTGCATAAACCCACCATGATGGTAACAGGCTTATAGCCTCCTGCCTCCACCTGCCACGTGCTGGGACTACGGTCATGTGCCGCCATGCCAGTCTTAGGCAGCATCAAGACCGGACAGGGCTCTGTGCCACACACTTACAGAAGCTTAGCGTCAGGCTAGCACTCATGGGCTATTTTTTGTTTCAGTGTGTCCAGAGTGTGTACACCAGTAAGATCATCAGCAGTGATCGGGATCTTTTGGCAGTGGTGTTCTATGGTACCGAGAAAGACAAAAATTCAGTGAATTTCAAAAATATTTATGTCTTACAAGATTTGGATAACCCAGGTTGGTACTATTCAAAGAACATGGTTTCCTTTATGTGAGAATATCACCAAGATGAACAAAAGAGGACCCTGAGGAGGAAGCAGCTTTGATCTTGGCTAGGGATTTGATTTCCTGCACAGAAGGTCCCTCCACTCTAGTTATCCAGGGCTGAGCGAGCAGGGCCCCTGGCCTGGGGTAGCCTGAGGCGAAGCTGGTGCTGACTCTGTTTCTCTGTCCCTTCTGACCCCGCCTGTCACCAGGTGCTAGACGAGTGCTGGAGCTTGACCAGTTTAAGGGACAACAGGGGGAAAAGCATTTCCGAGACACGATCGGCCACGGCTCTGACTACTCTCTGAGTGAAGTGCTCTGGGTCTGTGCCAACCTCTTCAGCGACGTCCAGTTCAAGATGAGTCATAAGAGGATCATGCTGTTCACCAATGAAGATGACCCCCATGGCAATGACAGTGCCAAAGCCAGCCGTGCCAGGACCAAAGCCAGCGATCTCCGTGACACTGGTAGGATTTTCCTTATTCTCCTATCATTACTTTAAAAAGATTTTATTCATTTTACTTTATATGTATGTGTGTACCTGTATGTATTTACGTCATCATGTGCATCCAGGAGCCTGTGGAGTCAGAAGAGGCATCACCTGTCTGCTCTAGTGCTGGAGTTGCAGATGGTTGTGAGTGACCATGTGGGTGCTGGGAATCAAATTCAGGTCTTCTGGAAGAGTAGTTAGTGCTCTTAACTATTCAGCCCAGCCCTTATTATTTTTTTTTGTTTTGTTTTGCTTTTTTTTTCTTTTAAAGAAAGATTTATTTATTTTATGTCTATGAGTACACTGTTACTGTCTTCAGACACACCAGAAGAGGGTATCAGATCTCATCTGTAGATGGTTGTGAACCTGGTTGCTGGGAATTGAACTCAGGACCTCTGGAAGAGCAGAAAGTGCTCTTAATTGCTGAGCCATCTCTCCAGCCCTTGCGTTTGCTTTCAAGACAGGGTTTCTTTGTGTAGTCTTCACTGTCCTGGAATTTGATCTGTAGGCCTGGCTGGCCTTAAATGCACAGAGATGCTGGGACTGATGGTGTGGCCACCATGGCACAGCCCTTCTTATTCTTTTAAATGGCTCCTAACTCATTTTCTTTATAACTGATGTCAGGCATTCCTTTTGCCATCAAGAGACAAATGAAAGAGTAAAGTGGAACCAAGGGCGACACTAGTGTGGCCTGTTGCCTTCCAGCTGTCTCCACCAGAGCGTACCTGTCCTGATCTCAGTCATGCAATGGATGGTGGCTGTTTGAAAGTTGTTGGAAGTAGTAGTAACACCTGATTGGTGTAGCCACTTTCTGTAGGTCCTGAAAATGTTAATAGTCAACCTAGGTTCTGGGGGGGGAGGGGGCTTTTTTTGTTTGTTTTGGGTCTTTTTGTTTGTTTGTTTTTTGAGGTGGCTATGTTATATAAGCCATGCTGTTCTGGAACTTGCTTTGTAGCCAGGCAGTCTTCCGCCTTAGCCTCCCAAGTGATTGGGAGGGTTAATGCTGTGCACTGTCATGCCTAGCCTAGGGAGGGAGGCATTTGAAGTGGATTCATCCCTCTCTTCTGGTCTTATGTGCACTGCATTCATGAAGTACAGAGATATACATGCAAACAAAACAGTGATAACAGGCAAATACATCTTTAAAAAAAAGAATAAAGGACGTTTGGCTGCACCTGGTGATACATACCTCAAATCACAGCACTTTGGAGATTGAGGCAAGAGGAGTATTTGCCTGGGCTACCAGCAAATGAGATCCATTTGAATTTAACTGAAAGCAAATGCTGGAGTTGGGAACAGTGTCGTGTCCCACTGCTTCAGATATGTGGGAGACTGAGGCAGGAGAATTGCTTAATTTAGGACTTTCAGACTAGGTCGCATAGCAAGACCAACTGCCTGTTGGTTTGATACACGCAGATTCTCTTGTCACTCAAGCTGCTGTGGAGGTTTCTGTGCAGGTCCTACCCCTGACCTGTCTCCTGAGTGTTGGGATTATAGGCATGTTGCACCATCTCAAGTGGCTGCTTTCTCCATCTTAGAGACCACAGTCAATAGATAGGATACATTATAACTTACGATGGCCCTTTTCTTATTTTTGAGACTAAAAATAAATAAACAACAAATAAATAGGCCACACTATAACTCATGATGGCTCAAAACTCAAATGTGGCCCAACGTAGTCTCAAACTCACAGCCGTCCTCCAGCCTCAGCCTCTCAAATGCTGGGGTTACTCAGTTGTCTGGTGTAGATATGATTGTTTAATTTTTGTCTTTACGGAAATAGAGTCTCACCTCGTATCTCTGGCTGGCCCAAAACTTGCCATGTAAACCTATTGACTTGTTACATTCCTCCTGCCTCTTCCTCCCAAGAATTAGTATTATCAATATAATATACATCACCACATCTGGCCTGACACCATCCTCTCCCCCCCATAAGAATAAACAAACTTAGCCTGGTATGGTAGCATACTCATTTGATCAGAGGCAGATATATCTCTGAATTCCAGGCCAGCCTGGTCTACATAATGAGTTCTCTCTCAAAAGAAGAAACAATAATTCTCATTTTCTGTACTTTGCTATCCCTGGTTTTAATCTGTCTTCACATCAGGGATCTTCCTTGACTTGATGCACCTGAAGAAGCGAGAGGGCTTCAATGTATCCTTGTTCTACAGAGACATCATCAGCACCGCTGAGGATGAGGACCTCGGGGTTCACTTTGAGGAATCAAGCAAGCTGGAAGACCTGCTAAGGAAGGTTCGAGCCAAGGAGACCAAAAAGCGGGTGTTGTCCAGGTGGGCACCCAGCCTGGGCTAGCCTGCTCATACCTGCCTTAACAAATCACAGGCAATGCATAGATTTGACATCCCCTCACTGTTCTCCCACTGGCTTCTTCAGGATAGCATGAGCTGTCAGTTCTCTTCCCCAGCAGGTGTCTCCACGGTAACGCAGCAGCTTTCTGTCTCCTAGAGCTCTAAGTACGCTGAGCATTCCTTGGTACCTTCTCTGCTCTGTTTCCATGGCAGATGGTAGTAACATCTTCATCATTAGGTTATTTATTGCAAGGAGTGAATCAGAGACATCTAAAACACAAAAGACGCTTAGCAGATGCTATTTACTTATAAGCTATATATATACACGTATGGAACGGGCATTGGATCCCTTGGAGCTAGAGTTGTGAGCCACCTGATGGTTGGGAGCCACCATGTGGATGGCAGGAATTGAACTCGGGTCCTCTGGAAGAGTAGCGAGTGCTCTTAACCATTGAGCCATCTCTCCAGCCCCCAGATGTTAGTTATCTTTGTTAAAATTATATTATTGTTAAGCTAATGATGTAGCTCACTAGGCAAGGGTGCACACTGCCAAGACTGATGACCTGAGCTCTTCTCCTGGGACTCCTGTAGTGGAAGGAAAGAACCAACTCCACAAGTTGTCCTCTGCCCTCCTCACTCGTGTTGTGGCATGTGCACCTTTCCCCCAAATAAATAAGTGTTTTTGTTTTTCCAGACAGGGTTTCTCTGTGTAGCTCTGGCTGTCCTGGAACTTGCTCTGTAGAACAGGCTGGCCCTGAATTCAGATCCACCTGCCTCTGCCTCCTCCCAAGTCCTGGGATTAAAGGTGTGGACTACCATGCCTAGCTTTATTTGATTTATTTATTTATTTATTTATTTTTTATTAAATAGCATGAGGTGAATAGTAACCAGATTGTTAGATTTTTTTTTTTCTTCTAAAGACAGGGTCTTGCTGTGTATTCTAAGCTTGGGTTTCAGGTGTCTACTACCATGCTTGGCTGCATTTTGCTTTTTCTCCACCTCTCCATTTGTTTGTTCTTATTACTGTTTTGGACAGAGTCTTGTATGTAGACCTGCCTACCCGGTACTTGGTAATGTTCCCCATGCAGGCCTTGAATTCAGGGCAGTCTTACTGTCTTAGTCCCTCACCTGCTGGGATTGGCTGTGTGCCCCCATACCCAGTGTTGAACTCTGTTTGCAGCCCACTCACTGTTTGTGTTTGAACTAAGGTTATTGGAATGAGTAACACAGATTGGAACTTGGATGCTGTGAAAACCTCTCACATAGGAAAGTACAGTCTGCCCACTCACACTTGCTTTTTTTCTCTTTCCCTTTCTCCTCCCTTAGGTTAAAGTTTAAGCTCGGTAAAGATGTAGTCCTCATGGTGGGCATTTATAACTTGGTCCAGAAAGCTAACAAGCCTTTTCCTGTGAGGCTCTATCGGGAAACAAATGAACCAGTGAAAACCAAGACAAGGACTTTTAACGTGAACACAGGCAGTCTGCTCCTGCCTAGTGATACCAAGCGGTCTCTGGTAGGTGGCTTACCCTTCCTACTGAATCTTGTTTAAGAATGGACAGGGAGGTGGGGGCTGTAGAGGTGGCTCAGTAGTTAAGAGAATACATGCTGTTCTTGCATAGTCCCCAGGTTCCAGGAGATTAGACCCCTCTGACTTCTGTATGCATGAGGCATGCACAAGGCAGCACTCAGTGCACATACATAAATGCAGGTAAATAAATCTTTAAATAGCAGGAGTTGGGCATAGATGGCACATGACTTTAATCCTAGAACTCAGGAGGCAAAAGCAGGCAGATCTCTGGGGACAGCCTGGGTTAGAGAGGACTATGTAGAGACCGTTTCTGGGGGAAGAAAAAACCAGACGGACACATTAAGCAAGCTAGCCAGCAAAGTCACTGTTGAACTGTGTCGTTCTGGTTAAGCAGTTAGGACAGGAAGCAGCTGACCTTGCAGCTGTGGCATATGGATTGTCGAGGGGCAGAAAGCTGAACAGGCCAGGTGTGGGTGGAAACTTTGGCCTTGATTGCTTAGCACACACTGCTGTAACCGTTAAGTACAGCGACAGCAAGAGCTTTGTGGTTACCCCAGGTGGAGAAGAGTTAGGGTTTACACGTGCGGTGGACTGTTCGTCTGTGACAATTTCTCCTTACTGAACTAGTCAGATTTTTTTCCTTTCTTTGAAATGACCACATGTTTTTCTGAGTATGAAAGACCAAGTACAGTACATTCTCTCTTGTCCTTTCTCTGCTGTATATTCTTTAGAAGGCTGTGATATTGAAAAACAAGCATGGCCAGGCGGTGGTGGCGCATGCCTTTAATCCCAGCACTTGGGAGGCAGAGGCAGGCGGATTTCTGAGTTTGAGGCCAGCCTGGTCTACAGAGTGAGTTCCAGGACAGTCAGGGCTACACAGAGAAACCCTGCCTCGAAAAACCAAAAAAGAAAAAAAAAAAAAAAAAAAAAGAAGAAAGAAAGAAAGAAAGAAAAACAAGCATGACCTTTTGTTATTTTGAGATGGGTTCTCTCTATACAACAGATTGGCCTTGTCTGACTCCCTACTGCTGGGATTAAAGGCATGCTCCAGCATGGCTGGCTGAACACATCCTTTTTAATTATGTAAAATGTGGGAGAGGATCAGATTTTTGTATAAGTTCACGTCCCAACTGACTAAAATTATTTTTATTCAGTCCATGAGGGTTTTTTTGTTTTTGTTTGAGTATAAATTTTATACCAGATGGTTTCTTTATGCAACATTTTTTTTCTATTTGTAAGCGACTAGATTGTCATGTGGGATTATTAGGTAGCTACCCTCTGACCACTGAGTTTCTTTATTGATCCAGTTGCCTGAATAAATCTGAAGAGCCTCTTTTTTTTTTTTTTTTTTTTTTTTTTTGGTTGTAAACTGAAATCTGACGCTGCCACCATGCACACTACCCACTTACACGTAGAGGCCAGAGGAGGACATTGGGTACTCTGCTCTGTCCCTCCTCCTCATTTCCTTGAAACAGGACCTCTCACTGAACCAAAGCTTATCATGTTCATAGCCAGATTGGCTGGCCAGCAAGCCCCGAGATCCTTCTGTCTTCCCCCCCAAGCCAGCACTGGAGTTGTGGGTACATCTGGTGTCACATGGATGCCAGGGATCTAAACACATCCTCAGAGTTGTATAGCAAGCGGTCTTCCCATTCGCTCTCCCTTCTCCCAGAGCTGATTCTAAGTTCCTGATGTTTGGTAGCTGCAGATGCATCTCCACACAGCCCTTTTCTGGCCCCCACTATTCCGACCGTTTCTCCTTTAGACTTATGGGACTCGTCAGATTGTGCTGGAGAAAGAAGAGACAGAGGAACTGAAGCGGTTTGATGAGCCAGGTTTGATTCTCATGGGCTTTAAGCCCATGGTGATGCTGAAGAAGCACCACTACCTGAGGCCCTCTCTGTTCGTGTACCCAGAGGAGTCCCTGGTCAACGGTGAGTGCATAGGCGGAGGAGTCTCTAGTGAATGGTGAATGTATAGACAACTTATTTTTAAATTTGGGAGAGTCCCTGGTAAGTGGTACGTTCATAGACCAAGGGAGAACCAACGCCTGTCACTGGGTTTTTTGGGCTATGTTTCCTAAATGAATGCTGCTTAGATACCTACAAGAGATGCAAAGGAGTTAAAAAGAAGAAAGGAAAACCTTTAAGATTATGCGGGGTGGGTGGGGAGAGAAGGAGATGCGCAGACCGCTGTGGCATTTGTTTTTTAGGGAGCTCAACCTTGTTCAGCGCTCTGCTCACCAAGTGTGTGGAAAAGGAGGTCATAGCAGTGTGTAGATACACAGCCCGAAAGAACGTCTCCCCTTATTTTGTGGCTTTGGTGCCACAGGAAGAGGAGCTAGATGATCAGAATATTCAGGTGACTCCAGCAGGTATGTGGCAGAGAGATCCAGGCGTCTGCTAGGGGCCCTGAAGAACTTGAGCCCCCGATCCCCCAGCATCAATTAGGCCTGGGAAATGTGTGTTTTGAAAGTTTTGTACGTGGACATGTTGCCCTGCTGGGCAAGACCATCAGGATGGTCAGGTGGAGAGAGAACATAGTCAGGCTTCAGGATGGCCTCCTTCCTGACTACCTGCACATTGCTGCTGCAAGTGGCAGAGCTTCTCTGCTGATACTTTCTCTACTGAAAATGTCTAGTCAACCTTCATGCTTGGTTTTTGTCCTGTAGTGGACAAGGCTATGTGGTGTAGTGTAAGCTGCCTAGATATTTGAAGTCAGACTTGCTTTTATCTCTTCTTAGCCCCTCCATACACAGTCTGACTATGTAGGTCAGGCTGGGCTTGTGTTTCTCCTGCTCAAGTCTCCTGAGTGCTGTGATTACCCGTGTGCACTGACACACCCAGCTGACTGTCCCGAGCTGTATACCCAGGAGCTCCCTCTCTTTTGTTTTGGACCCATCTCCGCCCCTTGTTAGCCAGCCAACTCGGCCACACAAGTTAAACTTCCATTCTCTCTGGAAAGCTGTTGTATATTTGAGATAATGAGTGTTCATGCCTGTCCCTGATACGAATCCTCCAGTCCTGCCAACTGCAGTCCTCTCATCGCAATGCTTGCTTATTATTAAGCGCTTAGCTTCTCAGCTGCAGTTCACTGTTTCATGCTGTGTACTGTCCAGGCTAACTGCCTAAACCCAGCGGCCCACTCAAAGTCCTTGTCAATAGCAGACACAAGGGGGAGGCTAGGGAGCAGAGGGAGAAGCTGGCCCGACTGCTGGCCCTTGTTTGCTCACCACCTTCAGTGCTGTCATCAAGGGCCCCTCACCTGGCAGCAGCATTGGTTACATGCCTGGATTTTTCCTTCTAGCCCCCTCAAGGAACTGGATTAGAATCCACATAACTCCTTCCTCTTTAGTGTATGCTAGAAGCTTGGATGGAAATGGAAAAACGCTGGAGCTCAGAGGAGAGCCCCACGAAGCTGGAACTTAGTCCCCAAAGGCGGTGCTGTCCAGATGGCTCTGGACTATCCAAAATGAGGAGGAGAAGGAGGATGATAAACAGAGGCTGGGACCAACTGCTGTTGCCTGGTCATGGCTCCTTGTTGAGGCACTCCTCCTCTGTCAGTTCCCCATGTATCCCTGGAGAGTCTGTTAGACGGACTTTCACACTTGGCCCCTGGTAAAGGAGAGATTGGATTTGTAACCTTCAGCCCCAGCACCACAGGATACAGAGAGGTGAGACAGCTGCATCATAAGTCGAATCTCAGAAGACCTGTCTCCCCACTTCAGGCTTCCAGCTTGTCTTCCTCCCTTATGCCGACGACAAGCGGAAGGTGCCCTTTACCGAGAAGGTGATGGCCAACCCCGAGCAGATAGACAAGATGAAGGCCATCGTTCATAAGCTCCGCTTCACATACAGGTAGGCGCTGGGTCACCTCGAGTGTTCTTCTGGAGCTGTCTCCAGAGTTGGGCCCTATCAGAAATTCAAGTTCGACATAGACTAAGAGGGCATATTCTCTTCTGTTCAGTTAGACAAAAACAAGAAATCATTCCTTTACACCAAGAACTTTAAAAAGTACGTAAGCGTGAAAGTGCTGCTTATCTTGAAGTCTTGGCCTGTGCTGGTAGAAGTCCCGTGTGCTGGTATGTACCTGTCACCCTAGCCTTTTCAAATTGATACTGAGGATTGCACATTTAAGGCCAGCCTGGGCTTTCTTCAGAAAAGAAAGGCTAGTTGTTAAAAAAGTTCAAAAAGAGTGGTGCGTCCTTACTCAGTTTCTTGTTTGTTTTAGATGGGATCTTCCTCTGTAACTCGGGCTAGCCTAGAACTCTCTGTATATAGCATAGGCTAGACTCAGATTTGTAGTACTAGATCTGCTTCAGTGTTCTGAATGCTGGGATTACAGGTTTGTGGCACTATGCCCCCTACCTTTGTAAGACTTAGTTATTTTTATTTTGTGCGTGTGTGTGCAGGGGTTAGCATGCATGTGTATATGTGCACCATGTCCATGACTAGTGCTCAAGGAATTACATCCTCTAGGACTGGAGTTAAAGCTGGCTTGAACTGCCACATAGCTGCTGGGGAACCGAAGCCAGGTCCTCTACAAGGGTAGAAAGTGCCCTTGATCATCACTGTCTCTCCAGCCTTCAAATCACTTTTTTTTTTCTTTCGAGACAGGGTTTCTTTGTGTAGCCCTGGCTGTCCTGGAACTCACTCTGTAGACCAGGCTGGTCTTGAACTCAGAAATCTGCCTGCCTCTGCCTCCCAAGTGCTGGGATTAAAGGCGTGCGCCACCACCGCCCGGCCTTGTTTTTATTTTGTAAAGACAGTATTTAATTACTTACTGTGGTGGTCCATGGCCATAGTTCCCAGCACTCTGAAGGTGGAGGCAGGAGCATTAGGAGTTGGAGGTCATCCTTGATTACAGTGAGTTCAGGGCTTGGTTTGGAATACATGACAATCTTCTCATGTATGTCATGAAAATTCATGGTGGGATTACACGTGTGTGTCACACCCAGTGAAAAGTATCATTTGCCCAGAACTAGAAGTAACAGATATCAAAGATGGAGTGTGAAAAGGTCTCTCACTTGATGAGAAAATAAAGAAAACAACTGACTTTTAAAAACTGACTTTATTTATAAACTGACTTTAAAACAGACTACAACTCAAGTGTGGTGATGCAAGCTTCACGGTGGGAGGACAGAGGGAAGGAGGAACGGAGGGAGGAAGGACAGACACTGACTCAGTATGTAGTCCTGGCTTATCCTCACACTGGTCCACTGACTACTGACTGTCTCCTGAATGCTGGCCTGGAACTTGCTGTGCAGTCTAGGATGAATCTGACTACTGATGTTGCCTTCACTTCTCCAGGACCGGGATTCCAAGCAAGTGCCACCATGCTGGGTTTATTTAGTGTTAGGAATTGAATCCAGGGCTTTGTGGCTGCTAGTCACTCTCTGGGCTGCTGTCTATTTTTTAAGAGATGTGAGGTGATATCTCATTGTGGTTTCATTTAATTTTCTGAATGATAACTAAACAGTTGAACATCTCTTATGTATTGGCCATTTGTATATCTTAAGACACATGGCTTATTGAGATTGTGGTGTTTTGGTTTTTGTTTTGTTAAGTTTCTGAGACACTGGCTTGCTATCCATCCCAGATAACAAGGGTACTTGGTGCTGGGATTAGCAGCTTGTAGATGGTACTTTTCATTGGGTGTGACACACACCTGTAGTCCCAGAGCTTGGAGAAGTGGAGGCAGGAGGACCAGGAAGTCAAGGTCATCCGTGGCTACATAATAAGTTTGAAGCCAACTTGAATATATGAAACCCTGTCTCAAAAACAAACCAACCAACCAACCAACCAACCAACCAACCAAATGCCTTTCCCCTTCAGCTCTAACTTCCTGCTATTATCCTTTCCTTGAAAGTATGAGCACTCAGAATCTACCATGTAGGCCAGGGGTGCACCTTCCTAGCATGTACAAGCTCTGGGTTTGATCTCAGGTGCATGCCTCACACACACAAACATACACACCACCAACAAAAACGTTCTGTGTGCTAGACACTGTTCCATATGCAATACCAACATTATATCAATTATTTCTGTTAATTTTTGGCGCTAGATTGAGTCAGGAGTCCCCTGCATGCTAGGCAAGTCCTCTACACATAGCCAATACTTCAACCCTGTCCTTTTATCTTCATAAGAAACTGAAGAGGGGGCTAAGATGGTCCAATAGTTGCAAGCATCTACTGCTCTTGCAGAGGACTAAGCTTTGATTCCAGGTACCTATGTCAGGACACCTCTGACCTCTGCAGGTATGGTGCACACAGACACACCTTAAAAAAAAGTAAAAGTGCCCTGAAAGGTTAGTTTTGTGCCCATTTTACAGATCAAACAGGCTTAGAGGACACAAGGCTCCATTTTCAGTCTCATCCAACTAGGAAGGCAGTAGAGAGCAGGCCTCAGCTCCCATGACTCTGGCTTCAGTCTCCTAACTCCCATGCTGCTCTGTGCACAGAAAACACATTTGTCATTCCGTATCCTCTCTTCTTGTCTCTGCCCTAAGCTTCTAGTGACAGGCCAGGTTTGCTCTGCAGCTACTGTTCTAGCATGTACTGATAAACTGAAAGTTGGAGAGATAGCAGTTGACATGGAGGTCTCTGCTGTTTACCTGTGGTCTTTTTCTCTACTGCCCTTGGACCGCCACTAGCTGGTGTTTTGTTTTCTTACTGGAAGCTCTTACATTTTGATGCTGTTTTGACAGGAGCGATAGTTTTGAGAACCCGGTGCTGCAGCAGCACTTCCGGAACCTGGAGGCCCTAGCTTTGGACATGATGGAGTCGGAGCAAGTGGTAGATCTGACACGTAAGAAACACGGACTGAGCCAGGGAGTGTGTTGTGTGTTATTGTGTGTTGGTTCCAGGGATTGAACCCATGTCGGGAGGAGCTCTTCCTCTTCGGTGAGCTACATCCTTAGCTGAGAACTCTTTAAATTTCAATCAGAGGCCTGGGCCTATCTCAACTCCAAGAAGTACTGCTATGTGTGTGTACTGGAGGAACCACAAAAGACAGCTTGTTTCTATGATCAGTGATCTGTATGCATTTTTCTAGCATCTCCAAACCTCCTTGTCCAGACCATCTCTGCCTGACAGGTTTTCTAGGTCACCTTAGACTGCCTGGAACAGATTGTGCTAGCTCTGCAGTGACAGGAGGAGAGTGGCAGGCTCCTGAGACTTGACTCTGAACTAACTAGGCCACCCCATGTCCACGTGTAGGTGCAACTGAATGTTGATAACATTTACTAAGGCAGACAGTGGCAGGCACTGTTGTCCTGTGTGCTGATTCAGCTGACATAATTCTGAAGCAGGGGCTACTGCTGTCCTTACTTTTAAGAAAAGGGAATGATTTCCCCAAGTTTCAGGTGCTGTGTACTCAGTTCTGGGTACTTAGATATCACCAAGTGCTGCCTGCGCCCTGAACCATTGTGCTTGCTGTTTCCTTATCAGGCCTGGGCTCCTGGCCTTCTTACTAGACCCCATCTTGATGGTGGTGCTCTCGCATGTTTATGAGGACACAGGCTGTGACTGGGAAATGAGTAGTCACTGGAAACAGACTAGACTTAATGAAGGTCCTTGTACAGTTAAAAGGACCAGAACAATTAGTTTCACCTGCTTAGCTTCCTAGTTGTCCATGGCCTCTTAATACCAGACAATATAGCTGTTATTATAAGCAAGCATGATTGTGGGAACTGTCTAGTTGGGTCTAGCAGAAGAGAATCCTTAGGTTCAGCAGCCTGTGAGGAAGGACTTCCTCCATATCCTTGGTTACTTGACACACAAGAGGATGTGTGTGGGATATATGCAGGTACTGCATCATTTAAATGGACTGGCACTTGCCAGGATTTTATGGAGGTCCCTCACATAGGATGCCAAGCATGAAGGATTTTGTAGCATGTTTTAATGGTCTAGTCAGCCGCCTTGTATCCAGCCCTTCCCCCAGCCCAACTCAGTGCTCTCTTGTTCCCCACTGAGCTGAAGTGTACAGGTCACTCAGATGCATATAACTCACCTGACTACTGTGTTGTTTTGGTTTTCTAGTGCCCAAGGTTGAAGCCATTAAGAAACGACTGGGCTCCCTGGCAGATGAGTTTAAAGAACTTGTCTACCCCCCAGGTTATAATCCTGAGGGAAAAGCTGCCAAGAGAAAACCAGGTAAGGGCTGGTGTGGATATAGATGCAGATGCTCCTTTTAAAGCATGGTCTTTATAGTCTTACCACATGGTGGTTTATTTCCTTTTTCTCTTTATTTGGGAGTGATAGTTGGGTGTGTGGGGGATCAGTTAGGATCTCACACATGCAAGTAAGCAGTGTTAACACTGAGCTACATACAGGTCTTCTCAGAAATTTGCATATACAGCATTGTGTGGCCCAGTGTTAAAATACTTGCCTAGAAACTTCTACACAAATATGCGTGTCTCAGCACAAATGGCGTGCTTATATTGTTTCCCTGGGGGAGGGAGGGGACAGAGTATGGTCACATGTGTGGAGCTTGAACTAACTCTGTGGAGTCAGTTCTCTTCTTCCACCTTTATGTGGTTTATATGACAAAGACTTGGATCTGATGAGCCATTCACCAGCCCTCTACCTTATAAAAACTTTTAGATTTATCTTGTTACTTTATGGGTGTTTTGCCTGCAGAGGTCAGAAGAGGGTATCAGATCTCTTGGAACTGGAGTTATAGGTGGTCATGAGCTACCATGTAACTCTGGGAACCAAACTCATTTAGCAAGAGTACAAAATGTTCTTAACCCTTAAGCCTTCTCCAGTCTCTATCTCCTTTTTAGAAATTAGGCTGCTGAGATGGTTCAATGGGTAAGGCATTTGCCCTGAGCAAGTCTAGTAACTGGAGTTGCCCCCTCAAACCGAAATAAAGATGGGAGAACTAGTTAATTCCACAAAATTGTTCTATGTCCACCCATATACACAATAAAATGTTTTAAAGTTAGGTTGCAGAGTACTTAAAGTAGGTCAGTGACTAGGTATCCCTGCTTATTTAATGAGGCCTCTTTTTAGGGGATATTTTACAGTGAACATAGACTTGTTTGAGCATGGTCAATAAGGCAATTCTTAGCAGTGGAGTTGCTGGGTCAAGAGGTCGACATTAAAAATCTGTGAGGTTCAGGGCAATATCTCATTGGGTCAGACAGAGTACTTGCTGGGCAAGATCAGAGTTCAGATCCGCAGTCTCCGTGTAAAAATCCAAGCATCTTTGTTAGCATATAGGGATAAGTTCAATGAGAGACCTTACATCAAGGGAGTAAGGTGGAGAGCCATAGATGAGGACTCTTACCATCCTCCCCGGCTTCTACAAAGACACGCACCTGCCTATACTATACACACTTGAATCCTCTGGAAGAGTAGCCAGTGCTCTTCATGAGCCATCTCTCATGTGAAGTATCACATTATCTAATTATCCAAATTTCTACAAAGAAAATGACAGGGGTTATATACCCCGCTGTGATGTGTATAGTTCTCTAGTTGGGAGTGGAGCTTCATCAGGCTTTTCCCCATCTGTTCTCTGTTCCTGGCACTGACCATTTGCCATAGGACAGCCACCCTTATTACTGGTAGACCCCAAGCTTCCTTTACTATGAGGCTCACACTTGTAGAGAAGCACTGGGTATGCTGTCACCATTTTGGAATGGTTCTGGATTGGTTCTTAGTCTTCTGGCTAAGTAGAATCATATTTAAGCCATGTTACCTAGTAAACCCACGAAGAAAGCAGAGCTCAGACTGGGGAACATCCTGCTTGTTTATTTTGCACCAGAACCAACTTTGTCATGTCCTGGAAGTTGCTGTCAGACCTGTTATTGTGGTTTACCAATGCATTAGTTACTTGCCCTGCCTGTTTGTATTGTCTGGTGCCTCAGAATTTACAGTGTTTCTAAATGTTTTTTCCCCTTACCCTTTGGATGTGCTGGAATTTAAATCGAGACCTTAAGTATGCTGTACATTTTGGGGGGACAAAGAAAAAATAATTGATAGGCTTACACAGAATGAGCAGCTGCTTTAGATATGCAGATGGTAAACGGATACCTACAGCACACATCATAGGAGAGCAGTGTCATTTCCAGGTCATTCCTTCCTATCTCTTTTCTCTATAGACGATGATGGTTCTGCAAGTAAAAAGCCCAAGGTAGAGTTATCAGAAGAAGAGCTGAAGGCCCATCTTGAAAAGGGCACACTGGGCAAGCTCACTGTGCCTACACTGAAGGATGTCTGCAAGGCTTATGGGCTTAAGAGTGGACCAAAGAAGCAGGAACTGCTAGATGCTCTCATCAGACACTTGAAGAACTAAGCTCACATGCCCAGCCACTTTCTACAGTGCAGCCAGGCCACCTGCTTGTGTTCTCACCAAGCTGTTGGGTGGTAGCCACAAAGAGCTACCTGACAAAAAAAATGCAAGATCTTCACCATGGAGACTGCCGCCCTCTCACCTCACTGTGCCTTACTCTGTGAATAAAGAAAGAGCTCTAACTTTATAACTCTTCAGTATTGAATGGGGTAAATAGCTGCCTTGAATCTAGGCTACTAGTAACTGGCTCTCAGCTTAATTTTTTCCCTCACGGAAATACAACATACAGACTATCACAGTGGAAACAAACACCTCAGTGGAGATAGAGAAGGAGTATGACAATCCTTAAAAGATTGTATTTCTGTATGTTTACCCACCTGTTTTCTTTTCATATATGATGCTAGGGCTGGAGAGATGGCGGTTCAGCAATTAAGAGCACTTACTGCTCTTGCAGAGAACCCAGGTTTGTTTCCCAGCACCCACATGGTGGTCCACAACCATCTTGTAACTCCACTTATAGGGAATCCAGTATCTTCTGACCTCACTGGGCATACACATGGTGGACATACCCTTAAGGGTGTAAGCAGGCAAAACATAAAACTAAAAGCCACCAAATTCCTTTTAGATTCCGAGTAACCAAAGAACTTATAAAGACAGAACTACCTGAACCCCCACCACCCACAAATAGCCAACATTTTGGGAGGATTGGCCTAGTAGGTAAGCAGGTTCTTAACAGAACAGATGGGTCTCAGATGCCCTTATCTTCAAGTACAATTTCTGCTGGAGTGGGAACTCTGGCCTAATGAGAAAAGTGAGAATTTGTTCTGTGACTACTATGGTAGTTATTTGAACACTGGAAGGTTTCTCAAGCCAAAGCTTGTGTGACGCAGAGGTAAAGCACAAGAGGCAGGAGGTGGAAGTTAATTTAGTTGCAAACATTAATTCTGCATGTGCCTCACTGCCAACAGTGGTTTTCAACCGTGGGTGATTTTGTTCCCAGGGCAAGTTTGGTTAATGTAGAATCATCTCTGGTTGGGAGTGGATGTGGCCTGCTACTGCCATCTAGTGTGCAGAGACCAGTGATGTCACCAAGTACACTATCCTTACACTAACACAGGGTGGTCTGTAGAATTAACCACCTTGTCAGTTGTGTTAGGAAATCCTAGAGTGCTAACACTCCAATGACAGTCTGCACAAGAGAATTTTAAACTACCAAGCCACTTATAGGTGACAGCTTTACAAACTTGTACTGAAGAGTTAAATTAAGTGGGAGAAGGGCTAAGCTGGGGAGAGCGCTCAGTGGTAGGAATGTGCTTGCTTCTTAGGGTGTACAGGAGGCACCAAGTGAAAAATAGCTGGGCTGGGGGCCGCACTTCTAGAGTCCTGGGCTTGACCCCCAACATCAACACATCAAAACACAATAAAATGTTTGTAGTCTTGGAGGGAGGCAGGGGACTTCTTGAGAGTTCAGGCCAACCTGGTTTATGAACCCAGAACATGTCTCAATTTTCCCCTATCCCATGTTACCTAGAAATGCTAATATTTAAAATATTAGCTGGTAAAACTGAAAATCAGGCACAGCCGCCACATTTCATTTAAAAGGAAATATGAACATATTTATTAGGGTGCTCAATAGTGAACGTTCACTTTCTTCATGAGGGAGAATATACCTGACCCACGCTGTGGGAGGAACAGGATGAGGGCTCCCAACACGGCCATCAAGCGGCTCCATGAGAAATCCCCATATAAAAGGATGTTTCCTGCTAGCACTGTCTCAGCTGCAAGCTCCAGCCAAATAGCCACCATTCCCACAGAATCCCTTTGAGCTGTTACTGCCTCAGACGGGAGAATATGAGGTTACATACTTCAAAACCACACAGGACATTAATAAATGGCACCTGGACATAGGCCTAACATCAAATTTCTTCAAATGATAAGGGGTGGGAGGGACTGCTACCCAAAGAAAGTTCCTCAGTGACAGTAACATTTATAGAGATCTTGTATCAAAGGCACAAGGGACCAGTGTTACTGTCATCCTACCCTACCCAGTGGAATAAGTTTGCAGATGAAAGTATACACTGTTCCTGGCTTAAATTTCTCTTGGTTCTTCCTTTTGTTAAATGGTGACATTCTGCCTTTCACCTGTCTTGGCTATCATTTCATTTCATTTTTTTTTTTAAAGGAAGACTAAAAAATGGTAGAAAAGAATGAGAAGATGGTGAAAGACAACCCTGATAAGACAAAAATAAAGATACAAAAATCAGATGTAGTACAATATAATAGAAACTGGCTGAAAATAGTACACGCTAACAGACAACATGATACACGAACAGGGTGGGAGAAGACAGGAGAGGGCAGAGGCCATAGCCTACACCAAGAGCCTTTCAATAGACTGCTGAATGGACTGGATCTGCTGCTTTAGTTGAGAGCCTTCTTTGATGGTAACAGAACAGGCGATGACTGGCCTGGAGACTCCACAGGCCCGTCCTAAAGCCTGCTTGGAGCGCACAAATACGTAGGGGACATTCTTGTCTTCACACAGCAGAGGGAGGTGCAGGATGATCTCCAAGGGCTCGGCGTCTGCTGCCATCACAATGAACTCAGAGATGCCTCTGTTGAGGGTTTTGGTGGCTGTGGAGATAGGACATGTAGGCAATAGATGACATGGGTTTGCCGAGAGCAGTCACAACAAAGCAAGGAAAATGTTAACAGGTGCACTGAAATGGCAAGTGCTTAGAAAAAGCCAGGTGAGGTGGGACATGCCTTCAGTCCTAGCAGTTTGAGGACAACATGGTCTAGACAGTGAGTTCCAGGACAGCCAAAGCCACATAGTGAGACTGTCTCAAAAACAAAAAGCTTAAGAACGGCAATTTTCTGCCTGGAGCAGCTCTGATATGTAATAAGGCACCAGACACTGACCAATTCTTTAACCCCCAATGTCTTTCCCAAACCTTAATCCCCCCATTCTGGTCACTTCTTCCTGATACCACACTTCTCCAAATCCCTACCACCTCTCACCCACTCAGCTCTTAACAGTTTCTCCCTAAGGATCTATATCAGCACAAGGCAATCCTTCTGTAGCTTTAACCTGTCACCAGGGCCCCAGTTTTCTGCTCACATGTCACTTCCTCAGAAGATTCCATCTAAAAAGGTCCCCAAACACCTCTATTCTCCTTGACAGCACACCTGACTACCAGACACACCCACACCAACTCCAAGAATGGAGAACACAACAAAACAGAGCCATGGAAGTGCTTTGCTTTGTCTTCTGGCAATGACAAAGGTAAATAAAATTTTTCATTTTTCATCGTTCCTTTAAAATCTCAAAAATGGTAAACAATATTTCAATTAATATCTTCAAAACCAAAAGAGCTCCTCTACAGAAAACTATTTGCTTTTCTTTATCTTCTCTGGGTGGAAATACCATAGTACATATAATTACTTCACTGAAAAAACTGTTCATTCAACAAACAAATCCATAGCCAAACATGGTAGTACACATCTGTAATGCCAGATCTTTAGAGACAGAAGATCAGGCTACCTAGTAAATTTGTGAGGCCAGCTTGGGTTCATGAGGCTTTCCCAAACAAGCAAGCAAACAAACAAACTAATAACACAGAACTCCTCAGTCTGTTCCCACTCTTCAGTTCATCCTCTCTCTCCACCCACGCACACACGCAAACACACACACGGGAGATATATCTGAGAACCACTGAAATTCATGAATCCGAAAATGTCAGAGGCTGAAAAGCATTAAAATGCCTTTCTTTTTGATGGTTCTGAAGAGCGGTACAATGTAAAGCCAAATGAGTCTTTCATTGGTTAGTAAAAAAGTTCTGGGATGCACAGTACCCAACCACTTAGGTTGAGGTAGGAGGACTGCTTGGGTTGGGGAGTTTGAGACTACCCTGGGAATACAGTAAGACCCGTCTCCACAAACTAAAACAGAAGAAAGTGAAAGAGAATAAATAAAATATCCCCTAATCCAGCCCCTCTTCCAAACTCATGAAACCTGCTGAAAACGGGAACTCTCACTCAGGCCCTAGCATCACCCTGTGGTTGTCTCACCTTCATTGGCTCCTTTCCGAAGCTGCTTGTAGTTACAGGACTGCTGAACGAGGTCCAGCAGCTTCTTGGTGAGGTGGGCATCTGCGAGGGGATAGGCCTTCGGATTCACATCAGCCTCCGTCTATAGGGAAACACGAGAGTCAAACTAGACCAGAAGCTGTTTCAGATAAATTACAAAATATTTATCATCAACTGAGACAATGAAGTTTGGTCATACACATACCCCTGCTACAGTCAGGGATAGACCAAATTTCAAAACACTCTCTAGACAGGTGGTGGCAACATACAACTTTAATCCCAGCACTTGGAAAGCAGATCTCTGTTGAGTTTGAGGCCAGCCTGGGGTCTACAGAGTGAATTCCAGGACAGCCAAGATTACCCAAAGAACCCCTCGTCAAGCAAGCAAACACCCAAATCACCATACCCTAGCAATGCAACAAAGAAACCAACTACATACAGACAGAATATGTGTGTATTAACAAATGGGACGCTCTCTAAAAGGCAAAAGCAATCACATACAGGCTCCTACCATCTAGTTTTAACAAACTGGTAACCAACAAGCTCATGGACACAACCACATCTACCACCAAACTCCCCAAGTCAAGATTCCTTACCACTGTACCAGTTCAGAGTATCACACTCAAAAGTTATTAAAATTAATTTTATCTCTGTGAATTAATATACATAATCACTTATAATGACTATTTAAAATATCCTTTCTTTGGACTTATTACTGGTTTTCACTATTTTCCCACCTACTAGTTTGAATTTATTTACTTCTCTATTCTTTTTCCCCTAAAGAAATCTGGTATGTTGCCTAGACTGGCTCCGAATTCCTGTGCTCAATCAAATGATTTGTCAAGTAATCTAAACTGCAAATGCATGCCTAGCTTTATTGCTAACGTCTCAAATGTTAGAAAACAATTCAACAGACTACCCAATTTTGTAAATTGCTTTCCTTTGATGTTAGAAATTGAATTCTGGGCCTCGATCATGCTAGACAAGCACTGACCTGTATGTTCAGTCCACACCTTTTGGAGACAAGGCTGCCTATAAAGCCCAGGCTAGCAAACTTAAATCTCTTGATCAATTTGGTCTCCTTGTCTACCTGACAGTGAA